GGAGCAGCCCGGGGTGAGAAACTTCCCTGGTGCCTTCCAGAAGCAGCATGTCAGAGGGCCCCAGTCATTTTCAGAAAGCCACAAAGTATTTACCTCTCAATCTCATTTAAATCAAGTGGAATCCATCTTTTAAACCTGCACACCAGTAGCTCAAGGAAATGTGGGAGCCTTGTTAAAGAACCTCCTTGGCAGATGCCCGTAGGGCCTGGACTGACTCTTGGTTTCCAGAGCCTCAGGTCTGCCCCATCCTGCCGGCATGTGCCCCAGATTACAGGCTGTAATTGTCTGCTTCCTGGTCTATGCCGCAGTGGCCAGATTTCTCTCGCATCTGTTCATGATTGATTTGGTTCAACCGTCCTTTATAACCCTATGAAGCTTTCCCACACCTGTGATATCTGTGTGTGTGTGTGTGTGTGTGTGTATGTATAGAATACAACTAAAGCCAGATGATTCTTTTAATAATTCATTACATTTTGATTTATAAAATAATATTCTTTATAGTATTTTAAGTCAACCAACATGGTATCGTATGAGAAAAAATTAATCTCTCCCTATCCATCCTAACTCAGCCTTCCCTTTCCATCAAAGGAAACCAATGTTAACAGCTGGGTGTGTATTTTACTGATGCTCATAAGTAGGTGGGAGGGGAGATTATGGCATTTATTGAGGGTTTGAACAAATAAATGAACAATATAGCATAAGAATAATAACAGCAAGAGAAAGTTTAATCCAGGCATGCAAGGGTGGCACACTTCAATATAATCATTGTGTCAATAGATGAAAGAAGAACAACCATGCGATCATATTAATATATACTGAAAAGGCATTCCCCATAAAAACCCTAATAGCAAAATAGACATTGATGGAAAAACTTAAAGAAGATTAACCGAAATCAAGAGGCAAATATTACCCTGTAATAAACCACTAAAACTGCTACAATTAAAATGAGGACTTAGGCAAGGATATTCGTTATCACCCTTGTTGCCTGCTGGGCCACTTCAGCGAGCAGAGAGCAGGCGGAGGCCTCGCTGAGGGCTGCTGTTTCCTCGGCAGGCAGAGAGGCCAGGGAGCGCATGCAGCTCATCAACAAGGAGGAGCAGGGGTTCAGTTTTGCCTTCCAGGACAACTCCCGGTACTCGGAAGGTTTCGGCAACAGCCTGATCGTATGTCCCATGGAAGGCTGGATCCCGCCACTGTCCAGGTAAAGAGAAACGAAAGCCTCACCCTCCCAACGGGTCCCAGGCCTGCCAGCCAGAGAGCCGTTGCCCTTAGAGTGCCCCATTTCTAAAATCTCTTTCAACTCTAAGATTTGGATATTAACAATTCCATCTCTGTCCTACTTACTCTCTGGTGTTTATTTTCCTGGGGAATTATGGAGCATTGAGAAGTCTACACCCATGTTCTCAATATTTCCTTGTGTTTGTATTCTTTTCCTTGCTGTCTGCTGTGTGCGTAAATCCACAGAGCATTGCTCAGCTTTGCCTGGCGAATCTTAAAAACTCATCATAATTTGGAGTTATGGTTCCTTTTCCTCATAGTGAATCTGCTAATCCAGTGAGCTCATATTTTCTTGCAGAGTTTAATAAAACCTAGTCAGCTAACCTGCTGTCTTGTTCCCCAACCAGGATCCCAATTGATATTTTCTTCACACCAAAGCAGGAAGGAGACGTCAACTTTAACTTGATCTGCAATGTGAAAAAGAAAGTCCAGCCTCTGACATTAAATGTCAAGGCGGAGGGCTACAGTATGAATGTAGAGATCAAGTGCAAGGACAGGACTGGCTCCGTCACTCTCTTGACTCCCAACCAGACCAACATCATCAACTTCTATGAGGTGACGATGTGAGAGGGACTCACTCACTCTCTCGGTCTCCACATTGACTGGGGAAGGCGGTACCAGTGAATATGAGCTGAGTCTTTCTGTTTCAAATGCCAGAGAGACCAGGAGAACAAAAACATGCCAGCATGAGGAAGGAGCAGCTCCTTCCTCAGAATGTACATAGTTATGATGTGGATGCTTTTCTTATTTTATTTTTCATGGGTAGAAAGATGATGGGGAGGGGTAAGAATGCCTGTATTAAACACACAGGAAGGATATTTGAGTACCAAGGGAGGCCTAAGAATCAAATTGCTGTCTCGCTCTTGAGATATTAGGGGACCCCAACACTTGGTAGCTCTTGCTGGAATGTCTGACTGCATTAAGCTAATTATATTCAATTCACCAACATCATCTGCCATCTTTATTTCCCTAAGGAAGTTTTTTATCAACATGTTACATATCCTGATCCCAGAGCAGGGAACTATGGGTTGCATTCACTACTCTGGTCTCTGTCTTCCAGGTGGGGTTAAATGAATGCGTCCAGTGTGAATTCAACTTTATTAACACTGGCAAGTTCAACTTCAGCTTCCACGCAGAGCTATCTGGCTCCAAAACCCTGCTGCAGTATTTGGAATTTTCACCCATTGACAGTACTGTGGATGTGGGGCAGAGTGTCCAAGCTACCCTATCTTTTCAACCACTTAAGAAGTGTGTCTTGAAGGACCTGGAACTTGGAATCAAGGTGAGACCATTTAACATTGTCCAAACACCGAAAGCACTCACAGCATGCTGCCTTGACAGGTTAATCCTCCTGTGTGTATTCCTTGTCTTCTCCACCCATCCTGAAGCTCCTGGAAGGTGGTTGTGTTGGAGACAGCCCCACAATCTCAACTGCAAAGGCCTCATCCATGGTTGGGGTGCCTGGTGAGTAAGTGTTGATTGAAAAGAAGTTGACCATCCATGCATTAGAAGACCATTCAGCCATTAAAACAAATAAGGGAGATAGATGGGCATGGAGAAAATATGTACAACATTTCCCAAGATAAGTTATCAAATGAAAGACCAAGGAATGGTAATGTCAGCAGGAATGGCAGAGGACATCCGAAAAGCTGCTCTTCAATAGCAATGAGAACACTGGCAAAAACTGTCATAATAAACTTTTTCAGAACTCTGGGAATTAATCACAAGCTTGCAACAATCCTAGGAGTATTTATTCAAGAAAAATGGCAGAATATTCTTAAGGACAGTGAGCTTTATGGTGTTTTAACTTGCCCTATTCCCACACTCTTTCCCCAGCTCTGCAGCAGCCTTGAAAACCAACAATTGTGCAATTAAAGTGAAAACCAGCAATTGATCAGCCACGGGAGGGGGCAGAACAGGTTTGGAACTCACCAAAAGCCCAACTAAGAGAATTTTCATTATTTGCCACGTCTGGAATTTCAATGGAAACCCCCACTCACAAGGGTTGCTTTTATTTGACCTGACTCAGAGCTTGGTCAATGTAAACAGCCTTTTCCCATGGGGCACTTGTCAGAAAACAATCAGTGGCAATTGTTTAACACTGCAGCAGCCTGAGGTGGCAATGACCCTTGAGGCAAACAAGCTGACCCAAAAACTTAAAAGGAAAAGCTAGGGAAGGAGATGTTCATAGGGGTCTGTGAAAAGCTCCAACATGCTCCCGGAATCTAGACAGCCATGCATGTATAAGATATGTATATCTCAGGGCTGTGCTCAGTAAAGACTGCTTAGGAGAAGGCCCTAAGTTCTCACCTCTGGCTAAACTTTTGGGAAAGCAAAAAGTGAACAATAAAGCAGAGTTGGCAACTACCTGCCTGAGTGTCAGAGGCGTGCCCCATCACACAGAGTCCCTCAGCAAAACCTGGAAGACTTATTGGTGCCAGGCATTGAAAGAAATCTCTGTCCAATCATTAGCTGAGCACTAAACTAACTAAGCAGAGACTTCATTAGTTATGCATAAATAAGAATATAGACTTTATGGAAAAAGTCACTAAACCAATAAAACAACTACATATAGCAAATACTCAGGAGGCTGAGGCAGGAGGATCACTTGAGCCCAGGAGTTTGAGGTTGCAATGAGCTGTGATGACACCACTGCACTCTAGCACAGGCAACAGAGCAAGATGCCATACACCCGCAACCAAAAAAAAAAAAAAAAGGGAAGAGTAACAACAGCAACAAACCCAGCGTGGGTGGATCTGGTTTTCAGAGTTACCACATTATATTATTTTAAATCACTAGTTTCCAACAAAATAATTATGAGACATGAAAAGAATCAAGAAAGTATGACCAGCCGGGCGCGATGGCTCACGCCTGTAATCCTAGCTCTCTGGGAGGCCGAGGCAGGCGGATTGTTTGAGCTCAGGAGTTCGAGACCAGCCCGAGCGAGAGCGAGACCCCGTCTCTACTAAAAATAGAAAGAAATTAATTGGACAACTAAAAATATATAGAAAAAAAAACTAGCTGGGCATGGTGGCACATCCCTGTAGTCCCAGCTCCTTGGGAGGCTGAGGCAGGAGGATCCCTTGAGCCCAGGAGTTTGAGATTGCTGTGAGCTAAGATGATGCCACGGCACTCTAGCCCAGGCAACACAGTGAGACTCTGTCTCAAAAAAAAAAAAGAAAGTATGACCCATACACAGAGAAAAAAAGCATCTAATGTAAACTGTTCCCAAGGAAGCCCAGATGTTGGACTGACCAGACAAATACTTGAAATCAGCTATTTAAAATATATTCATAGAACTACAGGAAGCCATGTCTAAATAACTAAAGGAAAGTATGAGAAAAATCTCTCACAAAATAGAAAATACCAGCATAGAGATAGAAATTGTAAAATATATATTCTGGAGTTGAAAACTATGATAGCTGAAATGAAAAATTTAAAACAGGGGCTTGGTAGCAGATTTGATATGTTAAAAGAAAAAATCAGCAAACTTGAAGATGGAGCAATGGAGATTGTCCAGTCTGAAAAACAGAAATAAAAAATAATGAAGAAAAGTGAACAAAGCCTCAGAGACCTATAGGATACCATCAAGGGTACCAATATACACATAATGGAAGTCCAAGAAGGAAAGAAGAAATAAAATGATAAAAAAAATTTCAAGAAATAATGCCCCAAAACTTCCTTCCCAAATTTGATGGAAAAAAATTAAATATCCAGAAATCGCAATGAATTTCAAGTAGGATAAACTCAAGGAAATCCACACTTATACACTTCATAATCAAATTATTGAAAGACAAAGAGAACCTGGAAAGCCACTGGATTAATAGCTGGTTTCTCATTAGAAACCTTGGAGGCCCAAAGACAGGGGAATGACATCTTCAGAGTGCTGGAAAAACAACTATCAACAAAGAATTTTGTATCTAGCAAAACTATCCTTTAAAAATGAAGGAAAAAACGAGGACATTCTCAGATAAATAAAAACTGAAATAATTCATTACTAGCAGACTAGCTTGTAAGAAATAACAAGAGAATCCTTCAGGCTGCAATGAAAGGACACTAGAAAGTAGCTCAAATCCACATGAAGAAATAAAGAGCACCAGAAAAGGTAAGTGCATAGGTTATGTAAAATCAGTATAAATGTGTTTTTATTTATAACTTTTTTCTATCTGATTTTAAAAACAACTGCATAAAGCAATAACTATAAATCTGTACTGATGGGCATTATATAAAGATTGGCAACCAGTCAGAGTTCCACTAGTAAAGGAGCCGTGGGGAGCGGATGTTGGGTGGTAACTCACGGGGTCTGGGCATACTTTTGGGCCTTCAAGCTCAATCATTGCTGTAAGAACAAAACAAGAGCCAATGTAGGGTCTGATTACAGAGTAGTTTTTGTTCAGTAAACAAACTTTTAACCTATTTAATCAGAATCTCTGGAGATAGAGCCCTGAGACCTATGTTTGTTAAAACACACTGGTTTTCTCCTTCACCTGAGGACTTCCATGTCCCCTCCTCCCACTTCTCCTAATCACGTCCACCTGCCATTCCCTTCCCACAGATCAGCCATGGCCCAACCTATATGTGCAGCATCTCAGGTTGTGCCGTGAGCCCGGCCGTCCATTTCTCCTTCACCAGTTACAACTTTGGGACCTGCTTCATCTACCAAGCTGGGATGCCCCCGTACAAACAAACCCTGGTCATCACCAACAAGGAAGAAACTCCTATGAGGTAAGCAGGCCTCCCGAGTCTCCAGAGGATTCTGTAGCTTTCTCTGGGTCCTATAGGTGAAGTCCTACTAAGATAAAAAAAAAAAAAAAAAAG